AGGTTGCACCAGTGGGTGAACCTCTCCCACAGGGATCCATGCTGTGCTCACCTAGCATATCCAAACATCACCTGGTGTCATCTCTCAGTCAATCACACTGGTCATCAATGCGACATGACCAGTCATCACATCATCATCAGTTACAGTGGAAGCACCTTGATGTTGCTGTGATCCTGCATCTCAGAGAGAGCAACAGACTGCAAGAGTGAGCCATCTTCTCATAGCTGCTGCTTCAAAACCACATGAGACATGGCATTCACTCATCCCATTGGGTTTTCACTTGAAGAGCTCACTCCTCTGGATCCAGGCTCTGTGAAGAGAGGCAAAACAGGGAGGGAATGAAGACATTGGTTTGGAGCACTTTCAATCAAGAAAAGCAGCGTAGATTCATATTGGTCTGATGACTGCAGGGAGGATTACTGTAGCTCAGGAGAGGTGGTAAGAGATGCCTGGCCTTATCCTGTTAGTGTTTCTTGAGAGAGAGGCTCAGATAACACGTAGGAGAGGAGTGCTTTTTTTGGAAATATATGGAAGCTATTTATGGACTGTACCCATAGACCAAGAATGAGGGGATGAGTCTTTGCAGTGATGCCTCATTTGGAAAGAATGCTACAGACAGGAAGGTTTTTCTTTCCTTTTCTGTCTGCAAATTGTGGATTCTTCTCACCCTGCTTTTATTTTGCATAAGCTGGATTTTAGGTGGATTTAATGATTAGTTAATAATTGGGTAGCAAATATGTGCAAAGCTGAGGCACTGATGGTACAAGCATTTATCTCTTAGTCATAAGCTCAGTTCAAATAAAACCACAGAGCACAGCTCCACGTAGAAGTTGCTTTGATGCCTACTGGCAGTGTTATCTCAGCCAGTGGGCTGTCAGAGAGAAGAAAGTGTGATACAGGCAGAAGGAGGGCAGCAGCCTCTCACCCAGCCTCGCAGCCTGGTTCTGAAAGCATCCAGCATAGCAGGAGGGACTCAGAAACCTTTCAGACATGGGATGTGCGGTCCTACGAATGGGATTCTAGATGGTGCCTTCAAAGGTGGGAAAAGACTGAAGTCCCTAGAAAGATCTCAATGTATTTCCACTCCAAACTCAGCAGAGCTGGAGAAGGAGGAGCTGGTACCAGCCTGGCATATCCATCATCCATGGAAATATTGGTGGGAGAAAATTCTGTCTGCAGTTTCTCCTGACTTATTCTGTTATGAATGAGGTTCCCCAAGACTTTATGGACTGTGCAGGGAGATGAGACAACCTGCAGCTTCTTTATGATGATGGATAATGCTTGGACCAGGAAGACGTTTTATCTTGTAACTGTTGTTTATGGAGCTGACAGCAGGGAAAAGAAAATAGTGCCACTATCACAGAATGGCTAAGGAAGAGGTTTAGTTTCCTCTTTTTCCTTTCACGTTGCAGCTCCTGTAAACATATGGATGCTGCAAGGGGCAAGAGTGAAGGTCTGCATCATGTCCATGATGACAAATGCTGTGCTTCTGCACTCCTCTTCTCATCATTCCTGACTTCTACCTAGACTCTTCTCTCTCAGGTGCACGCTCACAAGCCCAAAGTTTTGGATTTTCCCACCATTTATCAATGTTGCCTTAGCTCAGCAGTGCCCATTATCACTAACTCACTTCTGGTCTCCTCCCCAGGCGGGCTCAGGAGCGCATGTCCGTTCAGCCTCACCGTCTGCACCCCAGCTTTGACTTCAGCCACCAACTGCAAACCCCACAGCCCATGGCACCCCAGCCCAGGTACTTGGCCGAAGGTACAGACTGGTAAGTCATCCTCTTTTCCTCAGCATGTTGAATGAGGTGCTCGGAAAGCCCTAAGGGGACTGGATGGGTTAGCTAATGCCTTCGTGGCTCAGTGCTTCCATGAGAGCCGATGGTTCAGTTCAACAAATACAATGTGGAGAGTGTGTGATGGGGAAAGCCATCCCTGGGAGGGCCATGAAGACACACTAAAGGCTCAGTCTGTGGTTGGTAACGCTGACATTCATCACATCTCTCCACCCATAGTTGTGTAAAGCACCTATACATTAACTTCCCCAGGACCTGCTCCTGCTGCAAGGCATAGCCTGCAGGAAAGAAAAACTCAGGGGCTGCTTCCCACAGACCAGCACCTGTGTCTGAATGAGGTCTGTTGTCCACCAGGAGCTCAAAATGTGGTCTTGTGATTCAGCCACAATTTTTCCATGGTTGAAATTAGAGAGCATGGTGCTTCTCCACCCCGTAGGATGGGGTGCATGGATAAATAGCTGCTAATGATTCTCCCATCTTAATGTCTGGTACTCTGGTAAAGCCTAGGAAACGATTGATAGCTCTGTTTTCAGAGCAAGTTCTGAGCATTAGCATGCTCAGTAAGACACAGGGCCCTACTTGGAAGAAGTGGAAAATAGAAACATGCTTCTGAATAGCTGCTTGTTAGCTGAGCAAAGTCCATTCTCTGCACTGAATGCAGAAAATAGCACGTGCACATGTAATTAGAGACAATCGTAATGTATAAGCACAAGAAGATAAAAATAAAATGGTACAGGAAATCTTAATTATGGCATTTTCTAACATTTGAGCACTTTGCTCTGCAAATGTTCTTTTAACACAGGGATTTTTCCCCTTCCAGGGTAATAATATATGACCTAAAGCATGGCCAGATCCCTTTGTCATTTTCTTCTCAGGTGTTCCTATTGCTGGCACACGATGCAACAAATTTGTCCGATGGGACATTGTTCAGATAAGGTTGCAAAGCAGTTCACGTATCATCTGAGTACAGCCATTTTTTTTCTGCCTCTCTTTCTGTGCATACTGCTTAATTATAATCATTAGGAGGATCTGGTAAACCATCATTTAATCATCCCTTCCTCTTCCCTCCTCCCCTCCTGCGTTGTTCCATAGCTTTATAAACCTAAGGAGTGAGGATGACAGAAATCGTACACTGTGTGTATATATTTGGGTGACTCACTTCCCCTCGGGGCACATGTACAGTTTTGCCCAGTGACAGATACAAAAACTTTCATCTAATGTGTTACCACCGCATGAGCAGAGACGGCTCTTTCTTGGAGGCAGGAGGTGGTAGGCACTGCCACAGGAAACAGGGATGGAAGATGGAGCTGTCGGTGATTTGTCATCTCAGACAGCCAACCCTAGGTTAAAACCTTCTGGAGAAGAAGAAATAAACCCGCATTTCATCCCTTCAGTTGTTTTCTGATACGCATCTAGCGACGACCATTCAATCTGTTGCCTTTGTTTTTTGGTTGTTGGCAGCCCGTATACTACAGGCATTTAACCTCGTTTCAGAGCATCCAGGTGCTGTACATGTAGCACAGGCTGGAAGGTGATGGTTGGTTTTGGTTTTCTTCAGCAAATGTGCTCTGCTTTTTCATTTTCAAACGCCAGCATTATGCTTTGGCCCACAGCATCACGTAGGAACATTTACATGTGGTTTTAGAGATCCACTGCACAACAGAAGTGTTGTCATTGAAATTACTCATGCAAGTTAATAACACCATTCATCTCTCAGAGACCCCTTCAGTCCCTGATCTCACCCTGTGGGTTATCACATCTACTCTGTAGGCAGGGAATATGGGCAGGCAGAGAGGAGAGAGCCAAGGTCATGCCTCATGCCAGCACCAGGGATGAACTCACTGTCTCCTCATTTCCAATAGAACATTCCAGTCTTCAACAGTCTTAAGTAATGGGACAAATCTCCAAAAATGGCTGGAAAATACCCATTCTTGTGGATTCACACCCCAGTTTTGTTCCTGCCAGTCTCCTGCTGTGATTTATCCTCTGCTAAGTTTTGCCAGCACATAGCCAGCAAAGACAAACCGTCTTTTTACTCCATCTTGGTGACTTATTACAGGGTATCAATACCCTAAAGTTGTTATTTGGTATACAGTCCGTGTTGGCTAACGGATTTCTGCACTTATTGTCCCCTCATGACCATTAACTGTTGCTGGGCATCAGCAGTTTCACAGCTGCTCCAAGACACAACTGGGCTGATCTTAGTAAGCCATGGATCTTGCTACTCTCCTTCATGGAGAGGAGAAGTTCGGGCTGAAATGAGAAGCCCTTGTGCCCTAATTAGCTTTGCCTTGGCAAATATGAAGACAGTGGTTATCAGAGTGCCAGCTTTGGTAGTTATGATAAAGTAAATGACATACAAAGTACTTGTTTGCTGAGAGATTCTTTGACTGGAGAGACAAGGGACCATCTAATTGGATGATAGATGGAGGTGCTGTGCTAAGTATCTTCTCATCCCATCCATGCAGTGCTGGAATGGAGTTTGAGGTTCAGCTCTGCTTTCTGGATTGAGCAGTGCTGCAGTATTTGCAGGGATCTTGGTTATTTGAAATCCCAGGATGGAGCTGGAATAATTTCTGGAAGGATCAAGTGTCTGAACTCGCAAAGATAAAACACATCCATGTTGTGTGTGGTTGAGTGGGACTTCCAGGGATGTCCTATTGCATTAGTGGTGGTGGGATGCTGCTTTCTAGAGATGCATCATCCAGGTATTTCCCAAAACCTAATTTTTTAAAATTTCTTTCTTTCTTTTTGTTTTTTGGTTCTTGGTTTTTAGTTTTTCTTTTTTTTCTTTTTTTTTTTCTTTTTTTTTCCCCATAAAGAAAAGGTCTAGGGATCCCAGAGGCCAAGTTTGATGCAATCCCCCTTGTTCCTCACAAAACTATACCATGACCTGTGTTGGGACACTTTCAGGGAGATCATCAGCATGTACAATGCAGCTATCCTATCCTATTAGCTATATCCTAACAGTATCCACCATTCCTCTATTGCTGCAAAATATTCTGGGCAAAGTGTAATCATCTGCAGGTCCTCTCTGTGTCATCCTCCGGTGATGCAGAAAGGACCTGGTTAGCCAGGTTGAGCTACTCATCCTGGGGATTGATGAAACCACCAAAATTGTCACACTGCATCCTATAGCTCCTGTTCCTAGCTACCACCAATGCTAAGTAGCATAAAATCAACCCCTTGCTCCATTTTTTGGGGGGAGGGAGGAAGAAGAGATGTGAGCCCTTTTGTCGGGCTCTGTAGACAGGCAGAACTGTATCTTCATCCTTGCACCCACAGGGACCTCAGTGTCGATGCAGGACTGACACACGCCCAGTTCCAGGTCCGCCCGGTCCCTCAGCCCTATCAGCATTACTTAGCTACACCTCGGATGCATCACTTCCCCAGAAGCACATCCTCAACACAGATGGTAAGTGAAGCACTTTCGCTGAGAAATGTTTTATGCATTGTCTGCCAGAAGGCAGTCAAAATAAAGCCTGCTATCTTTCTATCACCTGTCTCCTGCGAATCCCACTTATCTCCGGCCGTGGGAGGGAGTGTCTGAAAGGATAATGTTGCATCATTGCACTCTGGATTAGAGACAGGAAAGAAAAGCTCAGCTGCTCTGGAAAGAGTCGTCCGTTGCCTGCAGAGCACTCACAGTCTGATCTGCATAAGCCTTGGGAGGATGTGAGACTTAGCAGTTTATTGGTAATAATATTATTATGGCATACTGGAGTAAAGCATGGGTTCCCAGGGCTCCCTGCAGGCAGAAGGATTGGTGGTAGGTGGCACCTCCCCATGCACACCGACCTTCATCACGTTTGCCATCAACATCAGCCTTGATGACACATGTTGAGTTTTTCATGACTTGTTGTACCAGTGGAAGTGGGATTAGATGTGAAGGGTCATTTCCATGTCCTTCTCCTAGCAGGGAGTTGCATTTGGAGCTGAGCCACCCTGCTCATCCTTGAAGCAGCCTTATAAAGCTCACAGATGCTCTTTCCCAACCTGCCATGGTCAGAACCTGACATCTGTACATACTGCAAGGCTTTCAGTATTGGAGCATGGATGAAGAAAATTGCACCAACTTAAAAATAAAAATTAAATTAAATCTCTTTTCAAGCCAATCCATGTTGAGAGATTGGAACTTCAGTGTTACAGATGCAGCGGGAATTATTGTAGCAAAGAGTTAATTCAGAAAACATGCCTAGTGGTTGTTATCATTTATAGGACATCTATTTAATTTTTTGTTGTTGTTATTATTCTGTTCAATTTAGCTTATTAAAAGATTCCCACTGGGGAAGGTGCTGGCCTGCTCTTTCATTTTCAATTTTTAAGCACTAAATTTAAATCAGGGTGCATGAGGGATTTCTTTGCGCTAGCACAGGTGGCTTTATTTTTCTCCCTTGCTTCTTGCAGGTTGTTCATGAAATCAGAAATTACCCTTATCCTCAGCTCCAGTTACTTGCTCTTCAGGGACTGAACCCAAGCAGGCACACATCAGCCGTGCGGGAGAGCTATGAAGTATGTATCTTGGGGACAGGAATAATTACATTTTCAAACCCTGGGAATCCATGCAAGCACAGGCATAAACTCATCAGGCCCTGCCTTCTGGCATGGGAGTCACAGATGAGAACAGGACTGAACCTGCAGCAATGAATAATAACCAAGAAGACAAAGCTGTTGAGTGGATTTGGTGAAAGATGGTCTACCCCACGTGCTTGGGTCTGAATCCCAAGTCTGGCAACAAAGTGCTCCAGTTCTTTGTTTTATTGACTGATTGATTGATGATTGATTTTTCCAAACTGACAAATGAACTTCACCCTGATTTCTTAATTACTGGATATCCAGCATTCAGCTCTGTGCCTTGATCCGTTGATGGATGGCCCAAGAGCCAAAACTCAGATCTATCATCAAATTACAACTGATCTGGGTTCAGTAGACATTTCCACCAAGGACAGGGCAGGATGGAGCCTTGCTTCTTGGCAGTGGGGTGGTGGAACTTTGCATTCTTCCACTGATGCTTTTTTGCCATCTGTTTTTCTGTGCTTCAGGAGCTGCTGCAGCTGGAGGACAGGCTGGGCAGTGTGAGCCGGGGGGCTGTCCAGAACACCATTGAGAGATTCACCTTCCCCCACAAATACAAGAAGGTGAGAGCCCTGAAATGACCACCAGACCCTCTTGATTGGCCAAGTGCTCTGTGTGTGGAGTGCTCAGAAGGAAGGACTTTGGTGGGTTGCAATCCTCAGCATTGACAAACCAACACCACCAGCTAAAACATACCCCAAAAGGGAGGAGTACTTTTTGGTTCTTTATTAACCTGTGGGATTCCCAGGTTGATGCAGTGCAGTAGCTCAGCTGGCTGATTCTTGCTTCTAGGCTAGGAAATTACAAGTCAAATTTTCAAAAGGTTCTCAACCTTCTCCCACCCAGTGGGAAAGGAAGTGTCTACAGCAAGAGGGCTTCATGCATGCTAGCACACCCTTTTCTACAAGAAGGTGGCACTGGCAGGACATTTTTCTCCCCTTTGCAAGGGACAACTCTGCTGGAGCTGATCTGTCTGTAAGGATGTGCGTGCCAAATTTTTTGGCTGTACTAAATATAAAATGATAATATTGCTCACTTGGGTAGAAATTTCATTTTTGTCATTCCCAGCTGAGCGGGAACAAGGAGCTATATTGCACTGTCCACATTGGAAATGAGTCAGCTCTTTGTTGCACTTATCTGTGGCCACATCTCCAGTGGATCCAGAAAAATTCTATTAGTTGGAATGGATATGTTGGAGAAAAAAGAGAGAAAGGAACTGAAAGTGCAAGCTCTGTTCCATGACTGTGCCAATAGGTCACAGTGGTTGCCCTTACTGGCAGAGGTGATTCTGTACATTTTTGGAATCTTCAGGAGAAGTCCCCATCAAGGGATACTATGGGGCCATCCTTACCCCAAGGAGAACAGACGAGGTAGTGACTATTTTGCTTTGTCTGGCTCTCCTAAGCTCTTATTTTTTGCCTTGTTGCAACTACACAGGCTTAGCAGAGTGTTAGAAAATCAAGTCATAACCAAATTATGTCTTTCTTCTTGCTGCAGAGAAGACCACAGGAGGGTAAAGCTGAGCAAGAGGATGGAGAGGAGTCAGACACTGATGAGAAATGCACAATCTGTCTGTCCATGCTTGAAGATGGAGAAGATGTCAGGTATGACCCTTTCCCATTACTTGGCTGTCTCTCAGTGACATCCGAGTTATGTTTGTTCAATAACACCACTGTGCTTTCATGAGACTGTCCCTGTTCTTGTCCTGACAAACTCACTTGGGTTGTTTCAGGGTTTAGGAAAGAAAACTCTTCTTAGTTGGACGTTGGTAAGGGCCATAGTTAGGTAGAGCTCTGAGCAGTAGGACCTCATGGGTATGGATCACCTGCTCCAAAGCCATACTGTCTGTCAGAATGTCAGAGAAGTGTGGGTGGCAAGGCTCAGGAAGCTATCTGGGATTCGTGGTCATCAGTGTGTGGCCTTTGCAGATGACCAGTGCATGATAAAAGATAACATGGATGTCAAGTACAGGGGCATTTGGCTTGTGGCCACAAGAGAGCTATCTTCTTGCAGAATAAGTGAGGTTACTCAGGCTGTATGTTTTCAGGGGGCCATTCTGAGCAACAGCAAAACCTCTGGTAGCCCTCAGAGAGATCTCCGGACTCTTGGCTGTGCTGAAGCTCTGCTTGTGACAGAGGGTGGGGCCAAGAAATTGCAGGAGGCTGAGCTACCATAGGTGAAAGAGCTGTGAGTTGGCACTGCTTGGTGCTTTTCCTCACACATTAGGCAGCCATCATGAAAATCTCTGATACTCTTGTTGTGGATCCTTGTGATTTGGGATCCCTCTTGCTCATGAGAACCACCAAAGAGATGACAAAGGTGACACGGGTGAAAAGCAAGCTCATTTCCTGAAGCACTCCAATCACTCAAGTAGGAGTAGTGGAACCCACTGAAGTCACAACCATCAAGAACCCAAGTGCATAACTTAATACTCCTGAGATGTCAAAAGTACCAGCCAGGATAATTGGTGATTGCAGTTGGTCACTGCAACTCAGATCAGGAGGGCACGGGGTTTTCTAGAAGATTTATATTCAAGGACAATCTCTGACCTACTGCTGATGTTGCTGGTGGAGGCTGTAGGGCCTGGGAAGCACAAGTGTCATTACACTGCTGCATTCCCCAGTCCTGGATGCTGTTTTCTGGATTTCTTGGGCTTCTTCCATCCACACTGTGCCTAATGGCTCATAGAATAAAATTACAAAATCATAGAATCATTCAGGTTGCAAAAGACCACTAGTCATCCAGTGAAACCCCAGCGCCCTGACCATGTGCACTAAGCTATGTCCCCAGGTGCCAAGTCTCCATGGTTCTTGGATGCCTCCAGGGGCGGGGACAGCCCCACCTTCCTGGGAAGCCTATGCCACTGCATCACCACTCTTTCTGAGAAAACATTTTTCCTAACTGGGGATGCAGAAGGAAACCAATGAGCTCGTAGACTATAAAACCAAAGGGTTTTCTGCGATTTTAAAAAGTTGATGGTGCTTCTCTTCCCACAGGAGGTTACCCTGCATGCATCTCTTCCACCAAGTATGCGTGGACCAGTGGCTGGCCACCAGCAAGAAGTGCCCAATCTGCAGGGTGGACATTGAAACACAGCTCGGCTCGGACAGCTGAAAGAATTGGCTGGACGCACCATTTTCCTTATCAGGTCGTATGGCCATAAACCCTTGCAGCAAAATTTTTTGCCTTCTGAGCCATTTGATTGAGAGGAAAAGTCTGCAGGCATGTTAGAGAGGGAGAGGAGGAGGTGTCAGTACAATATCTAGTGGTAGGAGATATTGCACATGCGCAGGATACGGGCCTGGTGAAAGGGAGCTGGCATTCCCGGAGCTCAGAGACCCCATGCTACAGAAGATTTAGTGTTGAACATGAAGGAACTAGTTGTGGTAGTCTGGCCTGTCAATCCTGCATTTCATGAGGATTGTATATATACCTCTCGAATACGTAGAAACATGTTATAGGGGTCCTTTAGCTATTTCTATGGATGGCAGCTGGAGCATGTTAGCTTAAGAAATGTTGTGTTTGATGCCCTACTCATCTTGTGGTGGACATGTTGCTGTTACCTAATTTGCACCAAATATTTTTTCATAGATTCCTTATGTTGGTGCCTGATTAATACATTGCAAAAGGGGAATGCAGAGGTCAAGCTTTCCCACCCTTGGGGGGAAGAGGCGAAAAAGCAAAATCCTGTTTACAGTCAGAAGGGTTGCGCTCTTTTCTTCAGCCACGCGTGCTTCCTTTCCTTGCCTTTACAGTGTTGCAAATTTAGAGATGCTTAAAACACATTAACAAAAAAAAAGAAAAACAAAAAAGAAAAACAAAAAAGAAATGACAGACAAATTGAAAATGAAATGAACGAAGCAATAAGGAGATGCTTCGTTCCTGCTGTTCTGCTGCTGCTGAATGCTTTCTGTAGGGGCACAGTGTTGAGGTGGATGCTGTTTCTTTGCTCTTTGTGTAGCTCAGCATGCTGAAATCCACGCTAGGCTGTGGGCTGTCTCCACGATCTCTGTTATCCATTGTGAATGATCTTACTGATATGGTAAGCTGGAGGCTGGTTGGCTTCAGAGCACCGTGGCTCAAGTCTCCCCAGGGTTGGACATCTCCTGTGATTTAGGGTATAGCTTCTCAGAAACATTGCAATAGGACAAAGAGAAATGGTTTCAAACTAAAAGAGGGGAGATGTAACCAGATATAAGGAGGAAGTCCTTTATAATAAGGGTGGTGAGGCCCTGGCACAGGCTGCCCAGAAAGGTGGTGGTGCCCCATCCTTGAAGACAGCCGAGGTCAGGCTGGATGGGCTCTGAGCACTGCTGGGTGCCCCTGTGCACTGCAGGGAGTGGGACCTGATGGCCTTTACTTGTCCCTTCCCAGAGAGATTGTGGATGCCCTGGCCCTAGAGATGTTTAATGCCAAGTTGGATGGGGCCCTGGGCAATCGTATCTGGCATTTGATCTAGCGGCTGATAACCTGTGGCAGAGGGGTTGGAACTTGGTGATCCTTGAGGTCCCTTTCAACCCAAGGCATTCTACGGTTTTATGATTCTATGACTCATTCTGTGATTCTACGACTTTGGAGAGACTGCTCACTCTGTGACTGGGCAGGGCAGAGCAGCAGACAAACTGCCCCACTTCCATCCCCCTATCCCAACCCTTGGGAGATGGGAGAAAGGGAGTGGGGGAGTATTGCATGCAGACGCCATGCTTCACCTTCCTGTTGAGAAAACACAGCGTAGGGAGGATAAGCAGATGTACAGCACAGGTAGAAGCCTTCTTTGCTTTCTTTTCATTTTTTTTCCCCTTAATCAGCTCAAGCTCTTAGTCTGCAGGGCTGAATCTCCCCAAGCAGCTCTGATAATGGGATGGGAGGAAACTCGTTGCTCGTGAGGAATTGCCCATGCATTGGCTGTTCGGGCGCAGTAGGGGAATGCTGGATCTAGAGGGTTTGCTGCTTTCTGGAGGGCTTGGTTTAGCCCTGCGTTGGAGCATTGTTAGATATTTCACTCCGTTTTCATATGGAGAATGAGATGGTTATTAAAATGGAATCTAATTTATCAGTGTTCATTAAAATAATGCATAAAATTGGAGGCATTCCTCAGAGGAACGGGACATTTCCATCCCTCAAAACAAATACATCAGCCACAGACACCCAGAGGACAGACCTCCAGAGAACCAGCGCTCACTACCCTTTTTTTTTTTTTTTTAAAAGAAAATACTTAATTTTTTTTTCCACACTGGGATAGCAGAAAAAGTATATTGAGGAGCAACTGGGATGAATTGGAAACTTCATATATTCAAAAACAAGATGTGCAGAGCTGAGCACTGGCTCCTCTGAGCCAAGCGATGCTCCTCACATAGAAATGACCCTAAATTGCCATCTGGGAGACGGTGGAATTCCTGTGAGCTATAAGTGGGAAGTGCCCTCCTCCAATGTTTTCTATTCTAGTTTTTACAACATAAACAGAAGTGAAGGAGGTGACATGGGGATCAAAAAGCCTTTCTTCCCCCTCTTTCTGTGCCTGTAGGAAGGAGGAAGCAAAGGGAGGAAGCAAAGGGTCATGTTGACATATATTTGCCATAGGGACATATATTTGCCACCCTGGCATGAGCATGGGGCCCCAGTGTGAGGAGGGATATGGGCTCCTTGGGGCAAGGAATGACCCATCGGTGCATCCAGAGAGATGTACCACGGAGACACCCAAGGTCAGACTGGACAGGGCTCAAGCACCTGATGGACTTGTGGGTGTCCCCGTTCATTGCAGGACCAGGTGGCTTTGAAGGGTCCCTTCAACTCAACCCGCTCCATGGTTCAATGATACACATGGGGCTTGCTCCAGCAGCAGCAGCAGATTGGAGCAGCATTAAAAATAACACTAATAATACGGACAGGAAAAGCAAGTTGTCGTTCCTGAGAGACACTGTAAGCTGTCCTGGTGCACCTAGGTGTGAGCTGGGGGCAAAGCAGGGGAGGAGCAGGGCCATAGGGCCCCTGGCTGGGCAGGGAGGAAAGGAGGACCGCTTCCAAACTGCTTGTTTTCTTAAAGCCTACGCGAAAGTATTACTATTTGCCTAATGAACAAGCACAGTTTTTAGATGAAAAACCAGAAAAAGAAAAAAAAAAAAAAAAAAGAAAAACACACACACACACACAAGGAAAAACAAACAAACAAACAAAGAAAAAGACAAAAAAAAAAAAAAATTGGTGAAGAAAAGCACCAAAACTCCCATGGTCCGGTGTGAGTGACTGATCCCGCGGTGCGTGAGGACCTGCAGGTTCCTGTGTGGGTTGGAATCGTGTGTACACAACAGTAGGAGGAGCTGGAATAGAAACACACACTCCAGGAACAAAAACATTGATAGTTTACAGGGTTTTGTGAGTTTAAATGCCTTATATTTAACAATCATAATTTATGACTAACTTGTAGATATTGTGGGTTCTTATTTAATTATTTTTATAGTTGGTTTTTTTTGCATTTTTAATTATAATTTATTTATTTAGAAATTAATACTAATTTTTTTTATTACTCCTATTACCTCATTTTTGCATTGTTTCTGGGAATGGAATGCTTTGCATGCGTCGGTACTTTAAAAAGAAATTCAACATGGGATGTCGGGGATAATGCTTATCTTGTCGAAAACAAAAGAAAAAAAGAAAAAAAATCAGGGTGTGTGATTACAAACTGTATTACTGTGGTGCTGTTACCTTGGATACATTCCATAAAAATGCAAACCTTTGATTCTGTATGCTGTGACATAGTGGAAAACTGCAATATAGTGACTGTGTTTAGCACATATATATGAATATTATTTGCACTCATAATCAAACTCTGGTGATCCTTTCACTCATGCCCTTGTGCATTGAAGGGGATTAATGGCGTTCTCCAAAACCAAAATGTTTCAGTTGGTTCCTGCCCTGTCCCAGTGCCACTGGTGATGCTCCCGCTCTTGCTGCATGCTTCCTGCAATAATGAATGCAAGGCTGTGCTAGGGGCAATGCATGCCTTCAGTGCATGACTCTGCAGATTGCTTCATACAATGAAGTAGGGAGCCCCGGTGCTGCAGTTCTGTTTAATTTTCAGTGCTTGTTCTGGCTATGTGCACCCTGTCAAACCGTCTCCATGAGCACCCAGCTGGGTGCTCCAGGGGAGGATGCAGGAGGGAATCGATGAGCTCACAGACTACAAATCCAAGGGTTTTTCTGCAGTTTATAGAAGCCAAGCCTCCCATCTTTTTTGATGTGGAGGTCCTGCTCCTCATGGTGCGGTGCCATCGGGATGGTGGGACTTCAGCTCTTTCACTGCTTCCAGATATGGCTAGAAGGATGGGGTAGAGAGGGATGGGATGGTTGTGGGGATGATCTGGGATCCATTTGTAACACCGGGCCACGAACACTGGCTATAATCCAGCTGTAAAACACACCTGGAGCAGAAGCCCCCCAAAATGACCTTGAAAGCCTTTCAATCAGTTTTGCTCCCTCAGTCAGGGCAGAAAAACCTCAACTTGAGGCTTGTTAATCCACTGTGGAGCTGGGGCTACAACCCTCCTGTGACCTCTTTGGGTCATCCGAAGGGGGACCAGCTCCCAGCTGATGTCCCATTCCTCTATTGGTCCATATCTCCATCCCCAGTGCAGGTGTCCAAGTGTCCACATCCCCATCTGCATCCATGACCACAACACTGCTAACACGCTGCCCCTTCTCCAGAGGTGCCCAGATACCCAGTGCTTGCGCCACGCAGGAAGGTTAAAGCACCCTTGTCACTACTTTAAGCTTTAAGCCATAACTGCTCTGGGTCCACGCAGATGCTCAGCCACGCTGAAACGGAGTTTGATGCATCTCCACCCCAAAAGGCTTTGGATGCAATTCTCTTTTGGAGCTGGAAAGCACAACGTAACCGTACCTTCATGACTCCTCTTTTCCCTTCAGGGTGCTGCTCTGCTTTGTTGCCTTTGCCTTTGCCTTACCCTAAGTTTCAGACTCACGTTTTCCCTTTGCTGCTCCTCCCTTGGAGCCTGGAGCCATGGTTTTGGGCGGTGTGGGGATGGGGGTTGGTTGTCAACCCCGCAAAGACACCGAGAAAGGGACGCATAAAGCACGGGGCGAGCAAACAAAAATCCTCTCCTTTAATGACCCGAGCCAGTGAAAGGATCACCCACATTTTTGTACTCCTACTGCTGTTCTGTTGTGCTGTGCAACATTTTGCTACATAGACTATTTTATAGAAGAAAGCTAGAAAAATATTTATTATTAATATTAAAGCAATAGTGCATTGAAGAAATGAAAAGACATTAGAAATTGTGTAAATGCTTAGATTCACTTTTGGTGGATTTTTTGTACTTTATTTATAACTAATAAAATGAACTGCATTGCTAACTATAAATCCGTGCTGTACAAAATGAGCTGGAAGGGCTCTTGTGTGGTCTTTATTTACCATCCTGACCCTGACTCCATTCCATCATGTAAAATCCTCTCCAGGTTGATGCCTGCAGCCTCTTTAGGGCGAATCCTTTAGCAAGTGCATGGTGGTAGACATTTTTTCTGCCTCTTCCAACCCTGAATCAGTAGGAAAAGAGAAATCTACTGGAAAATGGAATTTAAGAAAGCACTTTTATATTAATGCAGGGAGAGCTGAAGGCATTTTCCATCCTTTTGTCACCCTTGGAGAACCAAAGTGTGTCAACACCTAACTTTGCATCCTGTGCAGTCCCTTTGTGATTGGGCTGCTTATAATAGGAACCTGCTGGATCCCCCAGCAACCTGTAAGGCTGTGTAAGGGAACACCATATTCAGGCAAAATGAGAGTGCCTTTACAGGAAGCTGTTACAAATCCCATCAGAAAACATGGGAAGCATATTTGCTCACTGAGATCTTGCTGATGTCCTTCCAAAGGGTTACAGCTCTGAGAGTTGCTTGAGATCGCAATCTGTTTTGCTTCAAAGCTGCTGCAGCAGAACACGAGTTTGCCTCTGTGATGTGATAACAGCCCCACTGGGCACTGCAGTGAGGAGGGAGGGAGTGGCACCCTTTAAGGGACAGCAGTACCGACCATGGTGTGACACTGCCATTCACTGTAAACATTCACTCTCCCCGTATCACCTCTTATTTGTTTTGTTTAAGGAATACAAGCCTTTGGCTGGCCCATGGGTTGCAGCCCAGAGCTGTACAACACTATGAGTAAGTCTTTCTCCTTCTCTGTTTTCTGCTTTTCCTTCTTCTTCTCCTTCTTTCTCCTTCTTTCTCCTTCTTTCTCTCCTTCCT